TTACTTATTAATTATTAATACGAACTATATTAGATACTTTAAAGAAATTTCTGTTCTACTTCGTAAATTTTTGGAGACTTATGGTGTAAATAATAATAAACCTCTTAAAGGGAAAAGCATTGCTAATTCTCAATTTGCAACAATAAATAATATCAGTGATGTTGACATGTTTATCGCAAGATTTGAGAAAGATTACTTGACTTTTATTTCAAATGATAATCCTGGTGTGGGAGTTTTTGAAATGTATCAATATGTTGCAAAAAAAATTGGCGATTGTCTTGGTTTAAGGTAATTATTAACCACATATATATATTTTCTTGTTTTTCACCCAAAAAAGTTTCGGAATGAATAATCGAAGATCAACAACAAAATTTACCCGTAATAAATTAAAGATCCATTCTGATATGGTAAAATCAGCGGCTGAAATCTCTTCAAAAATCGTAGCTTTGGAAATTAGACCTGAATCTTGGAAAGAATTACAATTTATGCATGTTGCCAATTTTCCTCAGTCGCGTTGGTAAGTATAATAATCTATTTAATAATCTATTTTTTAAAAAAAAAATTATGTATTTTATTTCAATATTTATCTCTTTTTATAAAATACTATTTATTTATAGCACCAAGTGTTACAATGATATTTGTCTTCAATGTGGTGAATCTACTCATCATCCAGGAATGACATGTATTCAATTTATGCGTTACAAAGTAGCGAACCCTCATCTATTTATTATGAATAATTCAAAAACTCAAGCTACGTATCATAATAATATAAACAACAACACTGTAGATGCTTTGGAAATTATTAAATGGAAACTTGAAAATTCTAAATCTTGTCCAAACTGTTCAATATTAATTAATCGTGATGATGGCTGCAATAAAGTTGATTGTTTACATTGTGGATATAGATTTTGTTGGGTTTGTAGAGATGGATGGTCGGAAAAATGTGGTTTTTATCAGTGTAGGTTAATTAAACAGAAAAAAACTCGTATCATTAAACCAAGACAACAATTATCGATAAATCAAAGAGCTCATAATAATCATCATCAGCATCATCATCATCACCACCATCATCATATGCAACAATCAGCACCACCACCACCAGCACAAGTGCTGATTGTTGCATATGATGATGGTGG